ACTGTAATCTCAGCACTCTGGGAGGCAGAAGGAGGCAGATCTCTGTGAGTTTGAGGGCATCCTGGTCTACAAATTGAGTCCAGGACAGCCAAGGCTACACAGAAAAACCCTGTCTCAAAAAACAAAACAACAACAAAAAGAATTTATTTAGCCTCAACCCAGATAGAGAGCTCTAGACCATGCCTGCGCTCTCACCTTGAAGCCTGCAAGGAGAATACAGGCGTTGGCAATAATACTTGTAGATGTTTTCTAAGAAATTCCAAAAGCCAGTATTTGTCAAAGCTCATTATTTTGGATACCTTGCTTTATAAACTATGCTTCTAAAGAACCAATATACTTTAAATGGAATGCTCTTAAGAATCATATTTGCGGCTGTCAGAATGTGATGACCTAGAGCTTTGCCCATTGACAAAAGGAGTAGAGTTGGCTTCGGCCTTCTCTGTCAATTCAGTCTGTGTTACATGTAAATTATTTATGACCGATTTGACATGCCTGACTGCTTTCATAGCTCATGTGTTGGTTGACTGTAGAGAATGAAAATGTTGATATTTTTAAGAGGTTCTGTTAATAGGGTTAATTTAGAAATGTTTGTAAAGTGAATCATTTACTCTTGACAAGGCAGTCACTGACACAGGTAGTAACTTAGAATGTTCTAAGAGAATGTTCTAGAGAAATGCCCATTGAGGAGAAATCAAGGCAGGTTCTCTCTCTGGGAATGTACTTTTTAAGTTAGAAGTAACTTCTTTTAGGGGAATACAACTTAGAATTATATTGTCTCCTTATACAGCCTGGCAATATAAAATACACTTACTGTAAAATGTTGGAATATAGGTATTATAATTTAATGTTAACAAAAATGTGCATTATCATGTTTTCTAAAAGATAAGGTCACGTAACATAAGAGTCCCACTTTTTAAAATTTTTACCTTAGCAAATTGTTTCTAACGAGAAATTGTGTCTTACTTGGATACTCCATTTTCATTCATTGAATAACAGTTGATATTGTTAATATTAGGAACAAATGTACACAGTTTATCATAGGTGAAAGCAAGGAATATCACTTAGACACCTTCTGTTCGGATTCATTCCTTAGATGCTGACTTCGACTGGCGTCTTTTACAAAGCTTCCAGCTTGTTCCTCATGCAGGGACTGATGTAACAAACAGCCCATTACAGCTGCCTTCTCCTTCTGCAGAACGTGGTCCTGCCACGTGTCCAGCTGCGGTTCGCTCCTGTCACTCTTGATGTGAAAGTTTTCTTCTTTGTCTCTTAATGTTCCCCCACAACTCCCGACTTACATGTTCTGGATTTTTGCTGACTGTTAAATTTTATCATGATCCCTTGGATGGAACTTCCTCTGAGGCTCTCCAACTGCTCCTTCCCTCATTGACCTCTGTCAAGCTTAAAACGGTTACTGAGACACCCCCAAGCCCCTAACGGCAGTTCGGATGACTTTTAAAAGGGGACAAGTGAGTCATGGGCCATCTAACCCATCCCTCTTCTTGTCATTGTCAACATTGTTTTGGGGACTCGGAACTGAGACAGCTGGACTGAAGCCTTCTTTGCATCAATTAGCCTTTCCATCTCACCAGCTCGGATCAGCTTCACATCCTCAGGACCAGCTCGACTCCTCAGCTGCTGCCGGGCTGCACTCCCTCCTGATTAAACTCACACTTAGGTTTTTAGCCCATCTTTCAAACGTTTTGCTTATAGAGCTTAACCCTGTACCCAAATAAAATCTGAGATCACTCAATATTGCACCCTACAAGCTCGTTTTCTTCCTTTTAGATGTTGTGGAGAACTTGACTAAAAAGAACCTCCTTTCCTTTCAGCCTGGGATAGATACAATTCTTTATATCCTCTATTTTCTCCTGTTCCCTTCCTTGATGCTCCCTGCCACTTCTGCTAGCTCGTTTTAGTCCACCAGTCCTGGCAAAGGGACTAGACAAAGTCTCCTCCATGCCCACTTCCTCTCACTGGTCCTCTCATTTCTCCCACCTCTGTTCCTCCCTATCCTTCAACCTTCCCAGAAAACCTCTCTCTTCTACCCCACTCTGGGCCCTCTATGAATTATTTTCCTGTGTTCTTCATGAGCACAGGATGACAATCACATGATCCACTGAAGCAGATAAATTAAGATATCCCCCTACCACATGACTAGAAGATGCCCTCTTCAAAGGACCCAGCACTATTCCCTCTGACAAAGACCCTTCTCAACGGAACACAGCCATAATGCCCCTGCCCTGCATTTTTTATATCCTCTCACAGTTAGGAATGATAGCTTCCTACTGAGAGACAACACTTTCCAGCTTCCATTTCTGGCTATAGAAGCCATTTCCACCACTTTAAGGGCCTACATATCCTCTTCCTCTGTAGGCATTTTAGCCATCTACACGCGTGCAAGACAAAATGCTTCCTTGCCAGGTCCACCTATGGTCAGACCAACCCTTTCTTTTTTCCCACCCTCTGTCTTCTCTACAGCTGCTTTTTAATAATCTAACGATCACAGCACCCACAAGATGTGGGGGAGCGTCTGTATTAGACAAAGTAAACAGGTTGACCTAAGACACCTCTGTCAGGGGCTGGTGATCAGCCTTGGGATCAGTCACCTCCCTAAAGGGTGCTGGGTTCTGCTTAGTAGAGGTCCCAGGGATGAAGCAGCCAACAGCTGGAGTGGCTCCAGTAGCAGCAGCAAAGGGCAGCGCAGCTCGCTGGCCAATATTTCCGGAAATGATGTGACAGCCACAGAGTTCCCAATGGTCCCAATGGCTGGAGCTGCCAGCAACCGCAGTTCCCAGGTCCTATCCAGATTCACGATATAGATGCCATCATTTTTCCTTTTGTGAGTGTACTGTTCTATCTGAAGCCAAACTTGGTGCCACCCAAGCCAGTTCCCGCTGCAATGAATTTGAGAACACCCTCCTCCCCCACTTGAAGGATATCAAAGGCTTCCTCCAGACATTGTTATAACAGGAATCAAGAATGACACCATCTGGTCCCCTCCCTGGACATGGCAGAAAGGGATTGTTTTTATTTTATGTGCATACCTGTTTGCATGCATGAACGTGCAGAACTTTCATGCCCGGTGCCCTCAGAGACAAGAAGAAATGGCCAGATCCCCTGAGACTGAAGTCATAGGAGGTTGTGAGCTGCCATGTAAGCTCTAGGAACCAAACCCTGATCCTTTAAAGGGTAGCCAGTGCTCTTAACCACCGATCCATTTCTCCAGCGTCCCACAACATAATTTGTTTACAATAAGCTAGAAAAGATAACATGGGAGGGGCAGGCTTCTAAATGTTTTAGTCTACAATTGTTGGGTGGGGATTTGTTACTGTCCAAGCCTCGGCTCAAGAAATGAATAAGAAACAAGGAATGTGGTTTAAACAAAACAAAAAAGCAGGAGTTATGGCTCAAGGTTAATTGGAAACTAAAGAGTCAAAGCTGTCCTGATCTTGTTGGGAGCACCTAGGAAACTTCTGGAAACTTCTGCTTCTTTTCATCCTTTTTCTTTTCTTTTTATTTGGCTTTTAGAGACAGGGTTTTTCTGTATAGACTTAGCTGACCTCCAAACTCACAGAGATCCACCTGCCTCTGCTTGAGTATAGGTGTGTTCCATCAAGCCCAGCTGAACCTTCTGCTTCTAATCCATGTGTCAATCAATCCCATCTTAAATGACCTTTCAAGTTTCTTCCAAGTATCTGCTTTTGCTCAGTGTAGTACTTCCCCTGTTGTTTTTGTCTATAGTGATGCTACAAAGTTCCTTCCACAGCAACTGGTTGCATCTACCTAGCAGCAGGATACTAGTACCAACTAAATAACAGGCCTTTCCCTCCCTGTCATCAGAGGACTTGCTGTGTCATTTAATGGACCTATTTTTTTTTTTTTTTCTCACCAGAGAATCAGAATAACATAACTAAGGAACCCTCTTTAGGCTAATTTGGATAAGAGTTGGGGAGGACCTTACCAAGAGGAAGAATTGAGATGTGAATGATTTTTCCCTTCTTAGGTAGCTCAGGAGAATATCCTATATGTCCTGAAAGAGGAAAAATTAGGAAAATTTATTTTCTCTTCGGTATTTTAATTGTATAAGGCAAATACGTCAAGCTTGTGAAAACAGCCATCTCCATAACTGTCCTGTTTACTAGCTTATATTTATTGAGCATGGATGCTTTAATCTACCTTTGCAACAACCTGTTTTATAAAACAAGTTCTACCTATTCTCTGACAAGAATATATTGTATGACTGTATCATTATTTTGTGTTATTAAACATATCAGACACTGTGATAGGAGCTGGGCACATGAGAGTCAACAAAATTTTTTTCAATGTTTCCATGTTGTTTTGTTTTGTTTCTTGTTTTTCTTGGAGACAGTATCTCACTATATAGACCTATCTTGGAACTCACAGAGATCCACCTGCCTCTGTCTCCGGGGTCCAACTGTGTCAAACACTAAGCTGTTTCCAAGAACCAGTCTGGGGGAGGTCAAGGTCGTTTTCACAGTGAATGAAGTTTGAAGTGCACCCTAACACAGCATTTACCAGGTCGCCAAAGACTAGACAGAGGATAGGTGGTGCCAAGAGCTGGGAAGAAAGTGTGTATATGAGCAACAAATATTGGCAGGTGGGAGGGAAGGTCAGTTCTATTCCAGGTCTGCTGCTCTGAGAGCCAGAGTTAATGAACATTTCAATCCGTCCTGACAGGCCTAGCCTCCAAGGTAAAAACTGAACGTCTACAGCCGGCTAGCAGAAAGAAAAAGTACTGAAACGGTGTGGTGTGTAATTTACTATGGGAAGACCAGGTTCTGGCAGCCGGAGGAGCTCTCCTGGACACTGACAACAAAACACAGGCTTCACACAAAGCCGCACCTTTTTGAAAACACCAACTCGCGACTGAAACAGAAGGGATGAGGAACCACGAGAACACCACCCGCCGCTCGCCGCACAGCGGCTGCGCACGCCCCGCTCCGGAAGCGGAAGTGCCCAAAGAGGTCAGGTGTGTTTCCAAGATGGCAGCCTTCAGGGCGCTAGTGTCCGCCTGCGGGCGGCAGCTGCAAGGTTTCCTGGCAGGCCCCGCCGCGACCGGCTGGTTATGGCTTCCAGCTCGTGGGTTGAGAGAAGGTGAGTCCCAGGACCCAGCGACCTCCGTAACATGAGAACGGCGACAGGAGACTTCCGCCAACTCTGCTGTGCCTCTCTCTTCTGCGCGATTCTAGACATTGGAGGTGCTCCCCTCCGCGGAGCGCTTAAAAGCCCTTCCAGACCCTGGCGCTGATGCTTCACCCCCCCCCCCCCCCCCGGTTCTTAGTGTCTACCGAAAGTAAAGGAGAAAGGTCTGGTCATTTAAAGACAAGAGTATCTCGGGGTTCAGAAAAGCTCTAAAGGGTTGAATGTTAATTCTCCCATATTTTCCTAATAGTCCCTTCCTTGATTAAAGTATGCCCAAAGCCTACTTTTTTGTGAGTAGGTGGTGGCTTTGTCTACCTAGCTACTAATCTGAGAGATGGCAGCCAAGGTGCAAAGGCAATTGCCAAATGTTACCTCAGCGTTTCATTAATATTAAATATGGAAAGGTAAGCAGATTCTAGCATTAACTGAGAGGTTACTGATGGCCGAATGCCGTGTGTAAGTCAAGCTGTGTAAAGGGAGAAAGCATAGTTTTCCTGTGATGCCTGGGTTCTAATGAAAGTTATCCGTTTGCATGAAAGTACAGTAAGATTCTGTTACCGGAAATAGCAAAATCAGTTAGAAATGTTCATAAAGAGGATGTTTCTTGACCAAGCTGGTAAAAGAATGGAGTCCGGCAGAGTGAAAGGGTCTTTCTGGATATTATCTTCCTTTGTTTTTTGTGGGAAGCAGGAAACAGTGACCGATGGGGCATGGGAACTCACTTTTAAAATTCTAGCACAGTACTGGCCAACCAGGGAATATTAGTTAAAGTTGAAAAGTAACCAATTGAAAAGAGTAATCATTATTGACAGAGAGAGCAGAAAAAGAAAGAGAACTCAACCTCTCAAGTTCTGCGATTACAGGCATAACCATTATACACAACTTAGAAGCAGTTTCTTTTTAGTTTCACGCAGTAATTTCATGAAAAGTGGCAGATAAGCTGGGTGTTGGTGGAATGATTGCTAAGAAAATAAAAAGTCCAGATAACTGCCGGGGTAGAGTCAGATTAACTCATTAAAAAAGTCACTAAAGAGATCTTGTGAATGACAGAATGGGCTTGGATAAGGTGTTTCAGCCTATTCCCACGCTGTAACATTGGGGCTTAAGCACATAACATTTTTGAAGGTAACTACTGTCAGTTGCTAGCAGTTCCAAATTTCATATCCCTTATGAAATACAGCATTAAAACGTCTTTTGTTTTTTGAGACAGGTTCTCACTGTGTAGCTTTGGCTTACCTCCAACTTGCTATGTAGACCAAGCTGGCTCTTAAGTCACAGAGATCCACCGGCCTCTGCCACCTGAGTGTAGGCCTGGTGTGCTGCCACACGTGGTGGGCCTTGACAGTCCTTCACTGTGTTTCTTTATTATGCTTATATAGTCTTCTCTTTGAAAAGATAAAGAGGAAATCAGGAGGGTTAGTTTCTTGTGTAATTAATTGGTTTAAAGCAGGAGTATTTGAGATTTCACTTAAGAAACCTGTTTCAGACAAAGTTTTGCTAACTAGCCTTGGCTAGGTTATAACTTTCTAGGTAGACCAAGCTGGCCTCCAACATCTGGCAGTCTCTGCCTCCCAAGTGCTGGTATTACAGTCATGCAAAGAATTTTGTTTTAGATTATTTATACAGTATTCTGCCTGCATGTATGCCCACACACCAGAAGAGGGCATGAGATCTCATTATAGATGGTTGTGAGCCACCATGTGGTTGCTGGGAATTGAAAGCAGGACCTCTAGAAGAGCAGCAAGTGCTCTTAACCTCTGAGCCATCTCTCCAGCCCCAAAGGATTTTTTTTCTTTTAACTGGGGAGTTTGTGGAATGGTGAACTATGTAATCAATCTTTGGAGTGGTCTTCTCTACAGATGCTTGGTTGGTAACATTCCTGTCTATTAGCCACTGCTTAGACAGTGTGGTCTAAAGTCTAACTATTAAATTGAATTGCCTTTATGTGAAAGTACTGTTGTGTTCAATATTCTTTTGAATCATCCATCTCTAAACTTTTAAATGAACCTTGTGGCTTTTCTACCTTTTGGTAAGGCACACAGCTGATTTTCATTGGTCTAGCTAGTATACTTGTCGTTCAAATAGTATTGTACGTATCAAATTTAAGGTGTGGAAAACAAGCCGAGTCTCTTGCTGAAAATATTCAAGCATCTTGAATATTGTCAAAGATAAAACTACATACCTGTAGTAAGACTTCATGAGAACCAAGTACCCGTGTTATTACTGTAAACTTTCCAGTGTATTGTTTCTCAGTGAGGGTGCACATCCATTCCACTCCTCCAACCCCCAAAACACTTGGCAATGTTTAAAAACTCTTTCAGTTTTCACAACCAGTACTACCAGCATCTGATGAGTGGATATTAAATGTCTTACAAAACATATGCAACTCCACAACAAAGAACCCCCTGCTCCAAAATGTCAGTTGTGCTGATGTTGAGATAGACTGATATAAAGTTTTACAAGAGGGCTAGGTATAATGCATGTACACACACCTTTTTTGGAGGGTTGGGGCCCACAACGGAGTCTCTCTGTATAGCCCTGGCTGTCCTTAAACTCACTCTGTAGAGCAAGCCAGCCTCAAACTCAGAGCTTCACCTGCCTCTGCCTCTCAAGCTCTGGGATTAAAGGCATTCCCCACTACTGCCTGGCTTGATGCACACCTTTAATCTTGGCATTTGGAAAACAGGCAGAGAGAGGTGGATCTCTGTGAGTTGTAAGGTCGGCCTGGCCTACGTAGAGAGTTCCAGGCCAGCCAGAGCTACACAGTGAAGCCCTGTTTCTGAGACGGGGCAGGAGGGGAGTGATTGGCAGGTACATACAGGCCCAAAGTGACAGTGAGTCGATTATGGAAGAAGCAAGACTGAGGGGGACAAATTCCATTGTAATTCCTCAGTGCCTTTTTGCAGTAATGTGCTAGGTTTTCCATAAAACATCTCCTTAGTCTTCCTTAAAGGTAGATGTTAGCTGTCTTTATTTTGTGACTGGGGGGATGCAGTTGTAAAGATTCAGCAGCTTGCTTAATGTCAGCTCTAAGTAGTAGAGTTGAGAGTAGAGGCAGAGTCATCTCTCTCCAGTGAAATACAAACTTGGGGCGCCATGGCAGGCCCTCCCTCTGGTTCCCTCCTTTCCTGAAAGGCTCTTACTTGCCAACGAACATGTAGTGATTTCATCGATGACAAGGTCAGATTTAGCAAGGATTGTGTTAGAAACTTCCCGCCTTAACACCCTTGTGAAGCCATGCACACTTGAGTTAACAACCATGATCTTCAGACAGAGTGTGCAGAAATGGTGAAAGGCCAAAGGGAATCTGCCTCATCTCTTACAGAAAGCAAAAAGGAGCTGTCTGATATGGAGAGCAGTTGTATAGCAAAAACCTTTGAGAGGAATGGGTAAGTTGCTGGGGGGTGTGGGGAAGGGGGATAAGATTTCAGCACTTTGCTAAAGGAAAAATTTGTTAAGAAGCAATGAGACTCATTCTAAAGCCCGAACAGGGACATTCCATCAGGAACTGCAGGGAAGAGAAACAGAGATCCCTTTAGAGAGCCAGAAACTCGAATGATGAAAGCTGAACTGAAGGAGGTGCAGCACTTGAGAAAAGCAATTAATGGCCAAAAGCCCAAGCAGTCTTGGCTGGCAGGGCAGAGGGCTGCCTCCAGCCACTCCTTGTAGTCTGCTTAGATCTTCATTTCCAGAGATCCCTGAGACCTTGGTTTCTTCAGCTGCACCCCGCCATAATTTGTCTTCCCTCACTGCCTGCTTTACTAAACAGTTGAGTCTTTATATAGCCACGGTTCACTGTGGCTGTGTTTATTTGTCTGTCAAGGGCTTCTGTACCCATTACAGTCTCAACATGACTGCTGCAGGCTGCTATAATTCAGTTGTCTTGGACTCCATCCTAGGAGTATTTACTGAAGCACTCAGAGGACCTCTTTATGAGGCATAGGCTTTATTACAGTGACGTTTCCATACTTGCTTTTCTTCCCTCCTCCAGAGCAAAGCCTGTGCCTTACCCTTCGGCTGTTCCTCTGCCCAGGAGGTAGAGCGAGCCTGTTACCCACTTTCTGATTGCGTGGACTGCCTCACTTGGGACAGATCATCTCATGCATATGAGGAGTGCCTATCTTGAGAGGTTTCGCCTTAGTTCTGCTTAGAAAGCAGTGCATCTCTGGTGGCCTACTTCATGCTGACAAGTCTCAGGACTCAGGGGTGGTTGCATTTTTCCTAAACAAGTTTATATCGGTGCCTGAACCTTAGTCCAGCTTTTCTTACCCACCTTCTCTTGAATGGAGAAGGAGCCTGAGACAAAATGGATCTCGGGTTTTGTTTGGTTTTGTCATGTTTTGCTGTGCACACTGAAAATCAATACTATTCTTGATTGTTATCTCCTCTCTCCAGGCCCCAGCCAGGCCTTCTCCCCTGCGCTAACTCCCCACACTGATTAGTCCCTGTCTCCTGTGAGTTCCTTTGGTCATTCCTCTGCTTTGACAGATTGTCTCTCTTAGATAAGCATCTGCCTATTGTTTTACCCACGAGCTTCTAGAAGGACACTCACTGGCTTGCAGTTGCTGTGGGAGTGTTTGTGAACAGTGGAGCTTGCCATGGGCTTTGATCTCTATTCCAGGGGCCGGTGGGATGACTTCAGGGTTTGGGTCTTTGCCGAGAGTGATGTGTGTTTCGTTAGACTTGTTTACCTCATGGTTAGGGCCCAAGTGACTGGACCAAGAAGGAAAGCACATGTTTATGCTCTTTGTGTTCAGGCCATTGTCCTGGTGCTGACTTCAGTGTTATGAGAACGCCCCTCTACTTTTGTTTCCTGGGACTTCTCAGAAACTTACCCCACACACACCTGTCCTTGTTCCCATTCGGTTACCCTCAGGCCCTCCCCCCAATTTGAGCTTTCCAAAGTAACGAGGTTTCTAGGGTACCTGGGGTCATCTCTGGGCTGGAGATCGGCCTGCCCTCTGCTCTCCCTGATCCCTTGTGTGGGCCATTCTCCAGTGGACACATCACGGTGACCTTCCCTCTACAGCTGTGCTGGCTTCTAGGCTGACGACCAGTTTGAGTCTCACCCACATCCCGTCCCTGGGCTGGTGTCTCCTCTGGACAAGTAGAACCGTGTGTGAAGTGACGCAGTTTCTTTTACACGAGGAACCTAGTTTGCTCCGATTACTGGCTATAGTGTTCTCCAACGAAAGCCTCTGGGTTTTTCTGGCCATTGTTTCTCTTTTCTGTGTCTGCAGTTGGACACGGAAGGCTCTCAGTTTGCTTGTTTTGGAGTAACGATTCTTTCTGAATGGTTTGCCCAGCAAACAAATGAGGACTAATTCAGGCAGCCTGTGTTCAATTAGGTGTCGGTCACAGAGCTCAGTGGTCACAGATGCTGACAGGGGCTCTGGTTGGGTTAGCATTGCCTTTTTTTCCTCAGGCCCTCTTCATTGTTTATATTATGTTTTTGCAGAAGCTGTATATGTTTATTTTAGAAAATATGTTAGGCGAAAAGAAAAAACAGAAGTGCCCCCTTTCACCTCTGAGGTATAGCCAGGTCTCTAACACACCCCACAGCTGCCTGTGAGCCTCCTGCAGCCCATGGCCAGTGTGTATTTGCAGATGGATACTTCTCCTGGGAGAGATCTTTAGTGCCCACCGGATTCTTAGCGTCAAGGACCTTACCACTTTTCTAATCTATAGTATTTCTTGTGTTAGCCAGAGCTGAGTGAAACGACAGTTTAAGTAGGGTTTTAGTATCTGGAGAGACAGTTTGCAGATTATGTGGACTTAAGCTTCCTGTTGTAGCAGTTAACAGTTAAGACAGTGACAATTATTTCACTCTTAAACATAGTATTTATTGAGCATTTGCTGTGTACCAGTTCTTACAAGCAGTATTTCTAAACAAGCCAGGAATGTGGGAGACTCTCCAAGAACAGTTGCTCTATGTGAGCCAGCAGCTCTTGAGTATCAGTGGCCTTGTCATTCGGTATCCTAGTTAGGTGAGATGGGAAATATGTGTAGCCTGACAGATGTGTGCAGCTGATGTTCTTGCCTCCGCTTTTCTCTTGCCCACCTCAGGCATCAATAGGCCTGGGCTGCCCTCAGGGTAGAATAGCAGTGTTCCTGAAGCCCTGCTGAACCTGCTGTCTGCAGGCTCCAGGATGCAGGCTTTTCCATCTCATTTCTCTGGTACAGTAACAGAACATAACCCTTTAGGGAAAGATGAAGAAGGATGGAGGCGAGGATTTCCCTCATGGCCAGTTTGATGCAGTCTTGACACAGGATTCTCAGGATACGTCTTTAGGAGTGGGTTTCTCTCACTGATAAGCCACCGTTGGAAAACAGACAGCACTGTGTTTTAGATTGCAGACCCTCCAGAGACAGAAGCCACGTCAGTCTGCCTCACTCTGCAAAGGAGTATGTGCAAGCAGTACTTCTGATCCTTTCAAGCCTGCTGCTCCAAAGCTTTTGGGTTACTTTTTTAGCCCAGGCTGACCTCAAACTGATAGCAGTTTTCCTGCTGCAGCTATTCAGTTTGCTAATTCTTCTAGACAGAATCAAGATGAATCTCCGCTTCAAAACACACACACACACACACAAACTAGCCTGGATCCTTAATCCCAGAGAGATGCTGCAGCCCGGGTGTCCCAGGCTTGCCCACAGCCAGCCTGTAGGGCATAGTGCCTTGGCACTTGGGGGTGAACCCTGTCCCCAGCAGGGACCGTGGGAGAGTACAGACTGGAGGCTCCTCTCCTCTGCCTATGTAGAATTTGAGCTGTTATTTGAAACTCCCTGTTCCTTATTAAATGGCTGACCTAATTTTTCCCCTTTATCTCTGTAGTGGTGGAGATCCAAGAAGGGAAGACGACTATAGTAAGTATCGCTGCGTTGGCCACTCACGACCTCCTTAACTCTCGGAGCCGCCTGCCTGCTCCTCTGAGGGGTAGAAGGAGGGAGGCCCAATCTGGACTCCTGGCTCCAGGATCTGCTCCCTCGGAGACCATAAATCCTGAAGTCTACTATTTTTCGGGCTGTGTGCCCTGGTATGGTTAATCAGGAACAGTCGCTGTGCCTGGGCTGAGGTATCTGTTGCTTGATTAAAGTGACCTTTTGTATGACAAAGTCTCAGGGGTCTTTACTAATATGTTCTCTGGCAGATAATAAATCAGTTTCCTAAAGGGGAAACTAAGGCAGCATCACAAGCCGACGAGTTAGTTGGCCCAGAGCCAGGGGCCTTGCCTCCTGTCTGGAGTGACTAAGTACCCTTACGTGATGCTTTAAGAGTTGACAGTCCCTAGGCCCTAACCTCACTAGCTGGTACCGGCTTTGTTCTCTGTAAGAAAGCTAGAAGGAGCCTTCTACCCTCCCACCCCCCTTTCCCTCACTGGGCCCATGTCACCTCCCTTGGGGAGTCAGTCATGGGGCCTAGATTATCTCATAATCCTTAAAAGACAACCTTGTTTTCACATGGCCTTCTATCCCTCCAAGAAATTCCCAGCCACCTCACAGAGCTCCCAGAAGGCTCGGGAACTTCCATGTCAACCAGGAGCTTAACCTCTCTGGCAGTCAGCCAAATATAGTCCTCCCCAAGCCAGTCTTATCCCCAGGACAAATCCAGTCATTCTTCTCCCAGAATACCTCCTGGCCTTTCCACTGGTTAGCATCCACCCAATTCTTCCTTTCAGGGAACTCCATCCCCTTGTGGCATTTCTCTAGTTCTCTGATTAAAACCTAAAACAATCTGGGCATTATTGTGCCTATCTGTAATCCCTGTACTTGGAGAATCAGGAGTTCAAGGCCATCCTCAGCTATAGAGTGAGATCAAGGCAAACCTGGGCTACATGAGACCTAGTCTCAAACACCAAAAAGCTAAAACAAGCATTCACTTTATCAACTCTATGCTCAAAAAAAGAATGACATCAGCCTTTTTTGTTTTGTTTTTTTGAGACAAGGTCTCTCTATGTAGCCTTGGCTATCCTGAAACTTACTTTTTGAGACCAGGCTGGCCTTAAACTCACAGAGATCTGCCTCTGCCTCTTGAGTGCTGGGAGTAAAAGTGTACACCATCACACCCAAGCTGACATCAGACTTTTGAAGTGACACCTTGCTTCTGCTTTTCTGGGTACAGAGTACTCAGTGCTAAAGAGAGTGTTCCCTGTCCGCTGCTACTGCAGCTGCTGTCCTGGGTCCAGCTTTTTTTCCGGCATGTTAGAATACCCATTATTCTTCTGTTGGCTGTTTCTGCTTCCTCTTAAAGACTCCGGCAGACCATGTCTGGCTGTCATCTACCACATTCAAAACTAACTAGTTCACCACCAATAACAGCATCTCTCTGAGAATCTAATCCATTAGACATTCAGAATTAAAGGCTTCCTTCGCAGCTGACAGTGCTGCTCACCTTGACTTGAAATGTAAAGAGGGTTTTTCATGCAAGGCATTGGATGTGCTGTTTGTAAAAGGAACCTGGAGACACTGTGGCTCTGGGGCGAGCCAGTGCGTGTCTGGTCAGGTGCTGCTGTAGCTGACTGTGGGGGGCGTGTCCTCCAAAATAAGACCTAATGCCTGCTCCACCAAGTTGTGGGAGTTAAATGAACTGGTACATGTGAGCCATTCTTAGCACAGAAGGAGGTGAATAACAGTGAGCCAGTGAGGCCCTCAAGGTCCCTCCCAAGGCCTCCCATGCACCTTCAGTTTTCCCTGGCCCACAGCTTCTCTCTGACGTGTTTGGGGTTGCCATGGTAGAAGTGGGGGTGGGTAATGGTGCCTGGCAGAACTGAGCAGAACTTCTAGCCTCTTTCCCTTGGCCAGTCCCAGCCCAGGGGACTGCGCTGCTTTTATCCCAGTACCTCTCAGATCCATCCTGCTATGCTCTCAAGCTCACCCTCAGAGAGGCTGGAGCTGACTCCTAGATCATTGCTCTAGTATACTTAGCCTTTGCAAGGCTGGGTCACAGGGTACATCCATGGTGGGAAGGTCATGTCACATATGGTGTCTACAGGGTATTTAAAAGGTGTTACCCAAAATGATAGAAGTAAAGAGAACTACAATCCCAGAACTCAGGAAGCAGAGGCAAGAGGCTCACTGCAGGGGTGAGTTCAAGCCAGCTGAGGCTACGTATTGAGACCCTGGTTGTTTTTAGAGGAGGGGTGCACTGTGTTGATCCACCTGTGTTCCCTGTGTGTTCTCGGGAGAGAGAAGCAGCAGTGCAACAGACACCTGCTTGCCTTGCCGTTCGCAGGGTTTCTCAGCTGCACCTTGGCTGGTGTTCGTTGTTGTGAGGGCTTCCCTGTGCATCCTTGTTAGGTGCCCAGAATACCCCTTCCCTGAGCTGTGCAATCAAAAATGTCCCCAGACATGGCCATATGGGAAAGGGGGGGGGGGAATGTCGTCTGGTTGGGACCTGCTAGCATAGACTCTGCTAGCATGGCTCTGTTCCATGAAGCTGGAAACTTCTCTCCTCTGCAGAGAACGTATAGGGTAGGGGGAAGCTTTCTTTGACTAGCACATCTCTATGCCGTTTGGAACTTTTGATATGTATGACCAGCTGTCTGTATATGTACATGTGCATGCGGTTTTCTTGGGAGGCCAGGAAAGGACATCAGATGCCCTTGGAACTGGAATACTGGGAAACCGAAGCCCAGTCCTATGCAAGAGCAGCAGGTATTTGTAGATGGTGAGCCATCTGTCCAGCCCCCATTTAGAACTTTTAACCACGTGCATGTGTTAAAGAGGCGGGAGGAAGCCTGGGGTTCAGGTCCGCTACAACAAACTGCTGCCTCTAGTGCAGCAGATCTCAGCCTGTGGTCTCACCCCCAAAGACTCTCCAGAAACACAGACGTGTACATTGCCATTCATGACAATAGCAAACTTAGAGTCATGAAGCAGCAACAACTGTAATGTTATGGTTAGGGTCACCACAACATGAGGAACCATATTAAAGGGTCAAAACATTAGAAAGGTTGAGAACACTGGTCTAGTTACCAGTTTATATATCTCCATTGTCATTGCTGTTTGGTCTGGCTTTGGGGCAAGAGTCTTTCTGTGTAACCTCTGCTGACTTGGAACTTAATGGTATGTAGGCCAGGCTAGCTTTGGACAGTTTTCCTGCCTCTGTCACCTGGTACTGGGGTTACAGGTATGCATCACCTATCTGGCTACCCAACCACATCCCTGTGGCCAAGGCCCAGCATATAACAGCTACAGATCTCTACCGTGCAGGCAGGCCTGTTAGTTGCTACCATCAGACCCCCAGAAGTACGCTGGCTGCATCAGGCAGGGTGTGCTCGGACTGAGAGGCCTGCATGCCTGACCCAGGCTCTCACACTCTTACACTGGCTTTTTCCCCCCTGCTTTTTAGATTGAAGGTCGAATCACAGAAACTCCCAAGGCGGCTCCAGATCCCCCTAACCCCTCAGGCCAGTGCCCCATCTGCCGCTGGAACCTAAAGCACAAATATAGCTACGAGGTGAGTGTGGACATAAAGACCATTAGCCTGCATTCACTGGTGCCCTCCCCGTACAGTGACAGCTGCATTTCACAAGGCCGTCAAAGACAGCAGCGCTTTGTCCAGTAGCTGTCAGCCTGGCTCTGTGTTAGACTTGAATTAGCTTTAGGAAATTCTGGGCTAGCTGGGCATGGTGGCACACACCTTTGATCCCAGCACTCAGGGAGGCAGAGGAAGGCTCATCTCTGTGAATTCGAGGCCAGCCTGGTCTACAAAGTGAGTCTGGGACGGCCAAGGCTACACAGAGAAACCCTGTCTCAAAAAGAAAAAAAGAAAATTGTCCTGATGGCTGGAAAAATGGCTCAGTGATTAAACACACTGACTGCCCTTCCAGAGGACAGGGCAGCACTTAGTGGATAAAGCTGTACATACCAAGTTCCAAAGAATCCAGTACCCTCTTCTGGCCTCCACAGGTACTGCATGCATATGGTACTTATACATGCATAGCCAACATACCTATATGCATAAAATAAAAATAAATAAAATCTCAAAAAATAAATTTTGGGGTGTTTTTAGTTTTTTGAGACAGGGTTTTTCTGTGTAGCCTTGGCTGTCCTGGACTTGCTTTGTAGACCAGGCTGGCCTCAGATTCACAAAGATCCCCCTGCCTCAGCCTCCCCTAGTGCTGGGATTATAGGTGTGTACCACCATGCCCAGCTCAAATAACTTTTTTTAAAGAAATTAAAAATAAATATGGGGCTGGAGAGATGGTTTAGCGGTTAAGAGCATTTGCGTCTCCTGCACAGGACCTTGGTTAATTCAGCTTCTAGCACCTCCGTGGCAGCTCACAACCACCCATCACCCCAGTCCCAGGGTACTCAGTGCCCTGCCCCCAAGGATACCGAGTAGACATGTGGTGCGTGTACATACACGCAAGCTACTTATGCATTTTGTTTGTTTTTAAAGGAAAATCATTGCTCTTACAACTCAGCCTCAAACAGACCCATTCAGCTTGCCATTTTTAAAGTTCTCATGGGGCTTGACGCCACTGGCTGAGTTTGTGGCCTTGTTCAGAATGGCAGGGGTAGTTCTCACGGGGATGGAATCAGGTCTGGATTTGGCTCCCCTCCCCTTAGGTAACGAGGTGGTTCAGAGTGTGAACTGCAGACACAGGTGAGTCTCCACAGTGGGTCTCCAGACCACCCAATTGCTCTGCTCTTCCAGAACAGCTGCTTCTGGGAAAGGAGATGACCATGAGCATATCCAGCAGCGGGCAGCAGAGCAAGTATGGGGCCTGCTCCGGGGGGCCCTGTCCTGAGCAGTCATGGGCTTTATATAGCTCACTTAGGTTTGGGGCTTTTTGTTTGTTGTTTTATTTTATTTTTGAGTGTGTTTATGTGTGAGGGCACAGAGCACATGCGTGGAGGTCAGTTCTCTCCTTCCTGCATGTAGGTCCCTGGGATCAAACTCAAATAGTCAGGCATGGTGGCAAGTACATTTATACTAGCTGAGCCATTTACCGGCCCTTAGATTTCTGATTGTCCCTATGCAATAGGGACATCTTTGTCCTTGCTTTGCAGTGAGGGAATCTCAAGCATGGGGAATTTAACAAACTTGGCTGCTATTACCCAGCACCAAGTATCGGAGCAGGGACCCACATTCCAGAGCCTATGCTGTGCTAACTGCTGCCCTGCAGACAAGATAGGACCAGTCCTGGATACCCCATACTTGTTCTTCAGAGCTGTCACTGGCGACATGGGCACTCTATTTTGGGGTTTCAGGTGATTCAGGCTCCAGGCCAGTTTGACCTTTGTTGTCCCAGTTCCCCTTTAAGGCACAGGATGACTGAGGGCAGAGATCCTGGTCAGGTGATAAGAGCAGGAAGATCTGAACAGAGTGACCCAACTAATCTCCTGGCTTGGGAGCCTTGGCTTCAGTCCATCCCCAGGCGTGGGGGCAGGAGCAGGGCGCTCACCCTGCCGTGGGTCCTCTGCAAGTAAGTGCAGAAGGCTGAGTTCAGGGCTTCTTGCCTCGTGGATATCAGTGAATGGGCAGAGATGCCTGTGCTCTCAGCTGCAGCTAGGCAGCTAAGCCCCCACCTGCCCAGCCACCCAGTGTCGCTGTCCTGCTGGCCATTTCCAGGAAATTGGTTTGGCTCTGTTTTTCCAGGAGAAGAAATTTAATTCTCTCCAAGGTAAAGGCTAAAGTTGTTTTTCCTTTTTCCCCTTTCCACAAGGAGCACTGTTGGCCAGGCTGTGTGCAACTGTTGGCTGGCTTGGCAGCCTGCAGTGAACAGTGCTGAGGATGCATGCCAGCATGTTAGCTCTGGCTTAGTCCAAGGCTTGTTACCTGCTTCTGATGAGTGCAGGGCTGAGAGTTTCAGGCCTGGGTCCCAGGAGCTGTCCAGTGATCAAAACAAATTGGCAGTCATACAGCAAAGGCACCAGATTGGTAAATGGACGGTGACAGAGGCTGACCTTGGGCCCTGGTAGGGGCAAGTGTTATTTAACCGTTCAAGCCCTTTATGGTGGAAGAGAGGATTGTTCTTTTGACTAGGCTTATTCTGCACAGTTTGTTAGGTGTGTGGTGCTACAAGGAAGCCCAAAGACCCATTCCAATCTGGGTAACAGGGCTTAGGAAATGTGGATTGAATTCTCAGCCCAGTTCCCTCCTCAGCTCATTTGCCTGCCTAGCAACTGAGCAGGAGCAGCCGTCTATGTGAACCTTACCTGTGTCATCTAGATTCTGGGGACTGAGATGGAACGGGCATTTCCTCTCTAGGAAATGCTTGACATGTCCCATCTCAGCAGAGGAAAATGACCCGCAGACATTTTACCACCAAGAAAGACAGGTGGAAAAACAGTCACTAAGCATTTCTGGTCACACTGATGTGTCAGAAGATTTTTGGAAGGGTGCTTGGGAGCCCTTTGGCTGGCAATGGAGAATAGAAATCCTATGAGTTACCATGCTGGGACCCCTGCAGAGAACACCTAGTCCCCAGCATACATGCAAACCCACCTGATGCACATTCAATTTTTGGGTTCCACTAGGATGTGCTGCTGCTCAGTCAGTTCATCCGACCTCATGGAGGCATGCTGCCCCGGCGTGTAACAGGCTTGTGCCGGGAAGAACACCGAAAAATCGAGGAGTGTGTGAAGATGGCTCACCGAGCAGGTCAGGTTACCCGAGGCTAAGAGGGGCGTGGAACTCAGGCTCCTCTTCCCAGCCACTGTCACAGCTGGAGGAGAGGTGGTGAGCGAGTACTGAGCTTATGCTCCTCCCACACCTGAGGTGACCCCTGCTCTGCACTCCCATGGTCTTTACCCTCGTCCTTTCAGAACAATGGTGACTCACACCTTGTATGTTCTTCCACTCAGGTCTGTTCCCAAATCACAGGCCACAGCTTCCAGAAGGATTTGTACCAAAGAATAAGCCCAAGCTCAACCGGTAAGAAGACATGAGTACAATCGACCCAAGCATCCTGTGGATCTCACTGTTCTGAAGAAGCTGTCCCATGGGCCTCGGAGCCCAGGAGGGCTGAGTGTGTGTTGGCTACTCCATTTCCAAGCACACCCATACCTCTTCTGCCATGGCTGTATTGTATGCTGTCTGTCACCTCCCTTCCTCCTCTCTCCTGTCCTGGAGGGTCTGGACACAGGGTCAAGGAGGTTACTTGTTGGGCATAGACTCTGTTAATCCCAGTTGATATCATAGTGCATTGCTATGGGGAAGTCAGAGCACTTCTACAAACTTCGTGTGTCCCTGCTCTCTCCAGCAGTGGGATCATTCATTACAGGGCAGAGCAAGGCCTTAGGCATGGGAGGACTGTCTGATAGAGCCACTGTATACAGCATCCCATCAAAGCAGCCTGTGTATACGCTCAGTCACCACCACTGCTCCCTGGAGTCGTACCGCTAACAGCCTACACAACTTTTTTTGGCATCTTGAGCTATCCTGAGGTCTTCGGGAGAAGAGATGCAAGTCAGGCCTCCAGCAGCAGCAGGGTGGGCAGACCCCTCCTCCAGGGAGAGCAGATTCTCTCCTAACACTCTGTCCTCTTGCAGGTTCCCCTCTCCCTGACGTCACCCTCACGGGCAATTAGATCTGTAATTTTTCCTTGTCCAGAGAAGAGCTGGGTCTGTAGAGTTGAGTCTGCAGTTCTTATGCGCCTACCAGCAGCTCCTCTCTCCCCCTGTGTGAAGCTGCCTGTGGTGATAGTGAGCAAGGCAGATACTCTTCAGGGTGACTAAGGCAGAGCAAGATGGCTCAACCTCCACAGACCTTTGCAGAGATCCTACCAGATCCCAGGTGGAGGCTGGGAGGCCAAGTTGCTAGGCAGAGGGTGTGAGCTAGGGCAATGCAGGCTTGCTTCTTTGTGCCTTGTCTCCCCCCTCCCCAGATGCTGAGCCAGAGCTAGACTGGGCTGTCTTCCAGCAGCCCCAAGGAGCAGGGCGTGCTCTGATCCATTTGGGGGCTAAACCCACCCCGAGCTTTTTAAGAGACAGCCACAGGCCTGAGGACACAATCTATTCTGCCCTTGGGCCTTTGAAGCTAGGCCAGGCTCCCTCCCTTCCATCCGGTGTCCTTTAGTGTGACACAGGATTGATGATGTGTGGGGCTCTTGAGTTGCAAAAGGCCATCCTGGGGGAGGGGACATCCCGGCTCAGAAGGTCCTGCCTCTGTACAAGGGATGCTGTAATTGCACCCAAAGGCCCCTAGGCTGCACTCAGGGCCCAGGCCTTACTCACTCCCCCATGTCCTCAGCACCCTGGTGCAGCATTATATTTTCCAGCAGAGGGGATGGTGTCCCCTCTCATCTCTGTGCTCAGCACAAATGGGGTACAGGCCAGACCTTACTCAGGAGAGGCAAGAAGGGGCTGCTTTAGGAAACCCTGAGTTCTCGCTAGAGCTGAGGTGTTCATAGAGAGCCGGCTGGATGCCCAGCCTACCCCTGTAGGTGGCTGCCCCATGTGGTGCAGGCACAGGCAAGGCTAGCTGAGGAGGATAGCTCTGAACAGTCTGGTCAGCCACGGTCTTCTGACTCCTGGTGAATACCCTATTTCATGGGCCTGCTCCCAAACCCTGTCTTCACCCCTCCCTTTACGGAATGGGAGAGGCCATCTAAAGGGCCAGCTGGAGGTGAGGGGACCTATGCTGGACTAACCTGTTGTCCTAGGACAACTGACCATGGAAACAGCAGCCCGTGTGCATGCAGCACCCTCCGCACAGTGGGTTTCTTCAGCCAGCTAAGGAAAGCCTTGTCTTCCTGCCTCCTGTGCCCAGCACACACGTGGCATAGCATGGATGTCCCATGGCTTCCTCTCTACATGAGCCTAACAGCTGAAAGCCAGGGTCCAGAGGAGCACGCTAGAAAGGCATGAATCAGCAATCCTTTTTTTTTTTTTTTCAGCCAAAAGATGTCAGCCAAAACATAAATTTTAATTCCTGCCAGGAATACTAGTTTTTAAATTAAGACGCTTTTACTTGAGGGTCCCTAGAGGCAGCCAGAGCAAGTCTCAACCTCACATAGAACGCAGAAGAACTCCTGGCCTTTGTGGCTGAACTCTGAGGATAAAGGATGGGCCTTTCTGGTCCTGAGCCAGGTTTCATTATGAACAGAGTAAACTCAAGTCTTGTGCTATGAGCCACTCTTCCAGGAACAATCAGGGCCCAGGCTATCCCCAAAGGAGGCCAGAGGAGGCCATCTTTCCCTGCCCCCTCCTACTTACAGAAACCTGCTGGACTGGGACTGCACCGCTGTGCTTGTCCCCTGCTTCCCATCAGGTTGGGTGAGGAATGGGGTCTTTCAATGATTGAAGTGCCCCGGGGAGGAGTTCCCTGGATGTTAGGATGTCTAAAGGAGCCTAGTGGGATGGTGCAGCCCCCACCTCCAGCCTTTACATTGCATTCCTGTCCTTAGCTTCAGCCAGAGAAGACCTGATTCTCAGCCTCTTCCTCCACCTTCCGCCCGCAGTGTGGATGCACTCTGACAACTCATAAAGATGAAGGGAACTGGGTCTGGGCTGCCTGACCCTGCCCGAACCCTGGCCACAAACTTGTAGCAGCAAGATCTCAGCCATCTGTTTACAAAACAGCAGTTTCTCTGTGGTCGAGTGAGGGGGGTGTCCTTTACCCTTTGAGAAAGGAAAACTGGTAAAAGAGATGGTGCGTGCACTACAGCCTATCCCCGGGGGACGGTGTCCTACTCTTCCTGTCTCAGCAGGCTTCCTTGTGTTCCCTCTACAGCTTCCTGACTCGCTGGGCTCCCAAGTCCGTCAGGCCCATCTACAAAAAAGGCCACCGTTGGGACAAGGTGGGCATGCCCGTGGGGTCACCACTCCTGAAAGACAATGTCTGCTACTTCAAAAGGCCTCTGAAGCTGTTACATTAATGGGAACGGTGCTGCCGAAGACCCTGACTAGGACCTTCCAGATGCTGCACTTGGCCCTCCCACAGGACAGGACCACTGCCCTCCACAAACAGCACAGGGACGTTGGGACTAACTCCTGTTCCCTGGATCTGCCCAGCTGCAGTGTTGGGAGCCAGCGACAGGCAGGAGCTGGACCTCCTGGCCAGCGTGGTCCTCTGACTGGCTTAGGCTGAGGTCGGTGCAAGGGCGGGAATCTTAGCCAAGTTGAAACGCAATAAAGCAGGCTCTCAGCTTCCCTGTGTGCTTACAAATGTGGACCCATGCTGATTTCTAGCTGTGCAGACTGCTCGTCTCTGAGTGGGCCCTGGAGTGTGACTGAATGGGTCCATGTGCCGCACAGATCCCTGTCCTCCGCTGATAGGCATCAGTTAGGGGCCTAATAACTGTTGGTTACTATTAGCTTTCAGTGGAATCCAGGAAGTTCAGCAGGCCCCTGACCATCCCTTCCCACCAGTTTCCACCCATCCACACTGAGTGTCTCCTTCGTTAGCTTCTTCCAGGTCTCTGCCTTCCAACTTCGTGGGCCATTCAGAGCCAGGTGACTAGACTGGGGACAAAATGACAAAAAGCATGACAGAACAAAAGGGCTAAATTGTTGAACTTTATGAAAATAATGGTTAGACGCCACATAAATACCCAGACTGCCCCTCCTACAGCATGAAGGGTAGGTCAATGTTCTTCTCACCCGTGCCTACGTAGATGTAGCCATAGTTCTTGGTGCGGGGAGCGTGGTAGAAGGTGAGGCCTGGCCAGAGCAGGCTGCGCAGCACCACCAGCGCGTTGCCCCTTTCCATCTGGATGCTCCAAGACCCTGGAGGGACGACAGGAGCTGAGGCCTGGCTCAGGTGCCATTGTAAAAGTTGTTTTGCTCCTGCTGCTCATTGTGACACAGAGGGAAGACAGTAAGCTACCAAGCTACCAAGCCACCAAGCTAGGATGTGGGGACAGGCAGACAGAGTGGCTCCTTTCCCTTGCACTATGACTTTGAGCTCCAAGATGGATGAGACGGCTCGAGGCCCAAGCTCAGGTTGGGCCATTTCAGGCCTCCCGCTTCAGTGGTCTCCCTAGCTGCTGGTAGGTGGAGCCATGCTTGGGAAGGGACATCAGCTGCTGAGTCCGCCCTGTGGACTCCAGACAGCAGCTCAGACCAGGCCGAGCCAGAATGACTTGGCTGGAAGGGCCTGATCCAGCTCCAAGGGAGGGAGCCGCTGTGTGGGAGGAAGGAGCCTGGGAAAATCGCCTCTGGATGCAGATCTGGGCTCCTATTCCCCTGCGCACCGAGGCCTCTCCCCCAAACCAGCCACAGCCCTGCTCTGGTCCCTGCCAGGAAGGCAAATAACTTTTGCAGGTTTTGGTGCAGGACCAACCAGTTATGCTTGAGGGCTGTTCCAGAGCCTTCATCAGTTGCCAACTCAGCCCTGCTGCTGGCTCCTACCACATGAGTTTCCCGCAGCCTACCTCCAACCATGGCCCACCCTGGTCACTCCACACCCAGCAGCTTCGCAACTCAATCCCCACCCTCTGGGGGCCACCCTGCATCCAAGAAGCTCATCCCTGAATAGTTAGCTGCCTGCCCAGGTCAAAAGCGGAGCTTTCTGGAAGCATGGAGGTCTGCTGCCCCTGGCCCTGACTCAGCATGCACAGGATGGTGAGATGAAGGCTACACACACCATGTGCTTGTCACTGCTCCAGTCCACAGTTCCATCAAGAAGGAATCAGAACAGCATGTGTAATGGGCCATGGCTGGTGCAGCACCTGGCTGACAGCTGTCCTCTGAGCACCTGAGAACTTTGGCTTTCTTGGTCGTAGGTCTCCAGAAAACACTACTTGAGCTTGAGGGGACATGAGGCTGGAGTATGACAGAACAAAGAGTTCCACGTCCGCCATGTTTGGTCCTTGACAACAAACAGACCCAGGAATATACCATTCTCTAGCCTTAGTCACCCTACCAGGGCCCAGAGCATCATTGGGCAGCTTTCTACAGAGACCTAGTCCCTCCTTGCCCTTGGAGCTACAGCTACATGGCCTCCCTGAGATAAGCAAGACCAGACTGTGCTCTGCCCACCCAGGAAGGCTGGCTTGCAGCTTCCCTTGCCCAAGTGCTGGCCTGGAGAGAACAGCCTGTCTAGGCCCAACCCCACTGCAGCCAGATAGCGCATCAGTTCAGCCAACAGCGTGGTGCCAGGGGACCCCTTACACCAACCAGCATGCCTGGTCACCTCTTGCTCCCAGTAGCCGGGAGCAGAGGCTAGGATGTGTATCTCGGACCCAGAAACATGGGTAAAGTGTGAGGAAGTTAAATACAAGAAACCGAGGAGGCCAGGGCCAAGCAGGCCAAAGGGTGCTAGCTGAGTTGCAGCATGCCGGGGGCCGGCCTCCCCGCCTTCCCTTGCATTCTTGTCATACCCCTGTCCACTCATCCTCCCTGCCTTAGCTCATCATCCAGGACACACACAAATTCTCTCCTCTTTCTTCTCTCTTCTCTGCTCCCGCCCACCACCCCCAGTGTGTCAGCAGACATGTTGCATGTACCTGAGGAGTGGACACTATCGCCTTCACCACTGTCTCAAGGGCAAATATGGAAAAACTAAACCCAGCCAGCAGTGGTTGCCCTCTGAGATAGGAAGCAGTCCAGCGGGCAGTTCACAACCCCAGTTTTCTCCCGTCTCCTCAGACCTGGCTTCCTGTCCACCTCTCAAATACCGGTGCTCTGAGGCTGGGGAGAAAATCAGCCCTGGAACTCAGCGGTAGCCCTATGCAGCTGGCAGGAGGTCCTCCTGGGTTTCCCGATCAGTGTGGAGCCCCAGGCTGGAGTGAAGTGACCTTTCCATCCTGCCACCCATGGAGAAAGGCTAATAATGTAAGAGAGTGAGGGTCAGGCTCAGATCAAGCTGTCAGAGGCAGCAGGTGGCCTATGCCTCAACCCCTAAACTTCATCACACTAAGAAACGGCCAGGGAGGACTGGATAGATGGCTCAGCAGGCTGTTCTTTAGGGGACCCAGGTTTGATTCCCAGCACCCACATGATGGCTGACAACCGTCTTCGTTCCAGGGGATACAGAGCCTTCTTCTGGCCTCCGTGGGCATATGTGGGACACAGGCATACATGCAAGCAAAAGACCTATATACATAAAATGAAATTTTAAAATGACTGCAGGTTCCAGATGGGAGAAGGCCCTATCCCCCTTACCACAAGACCCTCCTAGAGGCTGGGCCCAGGAGATGGGTGTCGTGAAGGAAAACGACACCCCCGTGTCAGCCTCCAATCTAAATAAGCAGATGGCAGGACCCCTGATCACTTCGAAAAGATTTAGGAGAAGAGCCATCTGCACACACACACCTCTAAGGCTGACACCACGTTGCCCATTCTCTTCGGTCTCACCCTATACCATGGGTCCCCACCCTCGAATCACCTCTACGACAGCTTTTTAAAGTCAGTTTTCCAGGCTGCAGGACTTTTGCTGCCCTCTGCTGTCCAAACAGGGCGCTGCACCGAGTGCTTACTTCTGGGACCCCAACCTGTATTTGGTGCTTCCTGCCAGCTCTGCCTCCCCACAAATCCCGCTACCTGCTGCCTCCTCTGAGAGCCCACCCCTCTGTGCTCCTAGTAGAGCCTAACTTCTGTTTCCCATCCCGTCTTGTTGCCCTCAAACCTTCCTGACACAGGAGAGTTGGCTTTCTCATTTCAGGGGCACCAAAAGGGCTTGGCATGTAGCTGCTCCATGCTCTGATGACAGAGGGAAAGGTTAAGGAGTACTGAATGACAGAATACCACTGAGGAATCTGGCTGCCTGACCCACTGCTGGCTGCCTGCTCCACCTGTCTTCCACGGTGCAAGGCCATGGTCAGAGAAGTCCCAGCACCCATCAGGATGATCCTGCCGGGGATCCATCGGCATGAAGATTTCCATCGCAGGGCGTTACACAGCCCCTCGTTGCCAAGATACTGTTCTCCAGCAATATCCACCGCCCCTCCTTTCACCAGTGCTTGTATAGAGAGAAGCTGTAAGCTCCAGGCTTAGCCCTGGAGCTAAGGGCAGGGGACCACGCCTGCTCAGACGTGACAAACCATCTTGAATGATTGCTTCAGACTCAGAAAGCAAATGCTCCTCCCTAAGCAGAAAGAGTTAAGGAGTTCAAACCCCACCCCTCTAGCCAGGCATGGTGTCCCAGGGGACTCCTTCCAGGGTCCTTGACCCCACTCTTCAGTCCAGGCACCCACTGGCATCTGCCAGGCAGGAGAGCCACCCAGCAGCTTTCTTACTAGAAGAAAGTACGGAAGGAAAGCAGGGCTGTGTCTGAAAGGGAGAGATTCATCCTGGCCCTCTTCACTTTCCTTCTGTGGCCAGAAGCCACCTACCCACCACTGTAAGCCACATTCGAGGTGACTTGGCTCGGGTGCCCCCATGTGGCGGAACCCAGATGCTGGGGATGCTCATCCCTGCCCCTGGTGCTGCAGTAACCAGTAGACAACCTGAAGGCTTACTTGCCCCTTCTCTGCCCACCAGTGCTCATTGCCCTGCAATCACAGGCTTTCATCCAAGCCTCCACAGCTTCTCCCACCAAA